TTAATAAAAATAGGAGCAATCATATGATACCATGAAACACAATAGGATTGAAACAGGCTTGTAAATATAAACACATTTGCATTTTAACAGTAAGGAAATTAGCAATAATCTCTCACTGACCAAAACAACTTGTTCTATTCTTTTCAAATATGAATAACCCCTAAATTTTATAGGTTCTTTTTTTCTTAGCTTTTGTTAAAACACTATAATAGACTTAAATAGGTAAGTATTTATTAGGATGACAAAAGATCCCAAGATTTTGGAATGTTCCACCTTTACATAGATTGTCATTACTGTTTCTAATAACACCTGTAGGTGAGTGTTATATTCCTGGTTTATACATTATGTTATCATGAGCTTACAGAGGCTAGACAACTTACCTAGAGGACCAGGGAATGAGAATCCAGCACTACTTTGTGTAAGTTGCCTATGTCATTCACTATCCCTTACTGTAATATGTGCCCGTCTTTGGGGGGGAGGGGGGAGGGGGGAAGTGGGTGTGTTCATGCTTGTGTGCATGCATACCCATCCTAGGGCTTGAACTCAGGGCCTGGGTACTATCCTTGAGTTTTTTTTAGCTCTAGTGCTCTACCACTTGAACTACAGCTCCACTTTTGGCTTTTTTGGTAGTTAATTGGAGATAAAAGTCTCATAGAATCTCCTATCTAGGCTGGCTTTGAACCACAGTCCTCAGATCTCAGCCTCCTGAGTAACTGGGGTTACAGATGTGAGCCACCAGCACCTGTCTTAATCTTGCTTTTCAGAATGTACACACAATTCTTTGGGGTCAGACCATTTGGTGCTCAGTTATAATACAGAATCTCCAAATGAGAAGAAGCATTAGAAGAAAATGGAAGTCAGTATTTCCATTGTCTTTAAACAGAGACTTTTTCCCCCCTCAGCTGATTCTCCTGGTTTTTAGTACTTGGTCAGTTTGGGACATTACATATTTATTTATGTGTCTGCTTCTTCCATGAATCTGTTAACTGCTTTAATACTTTGTATGCCCAGAACCAGCACAGAGATCAATACCTACAGGTTTACAAATATTGATGACATTTGTTGACTGTCCAAAACGCTGATAACTCCTAAAAAGGCCTAATTTGTCTGGATAATTTTTGACCACTAAGACTAATGCAAAAAAGTCTACTTGGTATAGTTAATCGTGAAAATATCTTGTAATATTTAAAAGTTTATGACAACTTTTAAACATTAGTAAGAGTAAAGCACAAATGACTCACTGGGGTAGATTTTAGTAGTTGAAACATTTCTTAGCACCCCGAGAATGTTTCCATTGTCTTACTGGGATCTTTTACCTCACTTTTACAACTTTGTCAAAACTAGCAAAATGTAATATCGCCTAGTTTAACAAATATTATTTATGACTAAATTTATTAACCACAAAACTTTTTTGTCTTCTCAGAGGCTCAGATCCTTTTGATTATTCAGTTTTTCCTTACTAAATCGATTATTCAAATCTTTTTTAAAAAGAAAACAAAAATATACTTTTAATTTAATTTTAAAAAGCTTTAAAGTCTTTTTCATAGCAGTCCTGTGATTGATTTAGAAAACAGCTCCCTCTTATGACCAAAAGAATGAAGCTAATTGGTCATAAGAGCAAAAGTGAAGCAAATTTGGAGCTAGAATTCAGGAAGGAGGAAGCAGGAAAATAGGCAAAGGGTTCCCCCTTCAGGATGATGTTGCTATTACACTTTCCTTAGTTACTGTTTGTGCTGGCCTGGATATTGTGACAGTTGACTAATGTCTAGAACATATTGATATTTGATCTATCCTATGGGAAGATTATTTTTTTAACTCACCTTTATTTGTTTCCTATATTTTCTCTATAGTCTTAGATGTTTGCAACATAGGGAAGATGAAATAATGACAAAAGTAACATTTAAATTTCCCCCCAGCATTACCAACTATAATTAGATAGCTACTGAAACTTATGTCTTTAGAGGGTATGTGGGAATTTAGAAGGATAAATGAAGCAGAAAATTAAATAATAAAAAATGATTTCTAAAAACTGAATATTTCTAAGTCACATGTCTTGAGTATTATCTCCAAACCTTATCTACTATGGGAGGTTATTATGAGTCCATAAATGATTATTTTAGGGAGGTAAAGCCATGGGCATAGTCCATCAGAGCTGTAGGAAATGTAAAAGCTGTCATTTTTGAAGATTAAAACAAAAACTTGTCAAAATAAGACAGATCTTAGTTGGGCTTTAATATCTAGAAAAATCCTGAGACTGATTTTCCAATTTGTATTCATTTCCAGTAAGATGCAGCATGGCTTTAAAAAGAGATCACTGTAAAGTCAAAAGCAGACAAATTTAATCTATGACTAATGTGAAATAAGATGAGTTAGTGTGTCACATCAATTCACCTGAATAGCAACCATAGCTATTTATGATTATCTGTTCAAGCATTTATAAGGACTTACTATTGGGTAGGATTGTGCTAAACATTCTCTATTAGTCCATGTAATACTACCATTCTGTAAGTCACATCTCACAGCTGAGAAAATGAAAGCTTAAAAAGTTGAAGCCATATGCCGAAGCCAAGATGTGGAGTCAGAGTTCAAACTCAGAGTTGGTCCGTGACCTTTTACACCATTGGAATCCAAGACTGACATTTCTGACTGACAGATATCAGTTCTTCTCGTTCTCAGTTGTATGGAGTATAGCCGTGGGCATTCAGCTGAATAAAGAGTGCTCTTCCACATGATATAATTGCCAAGTTTGCGCAACAAAGACTGTGTTGTGAATAGAGCCCACGGGTGGAGGGGGGGGTCAATTATAGAATTAAAAGTCCAGGGCAAAGACTATGGTGTTGACTACAGAGGGAAAGGTCAAGAATTCAGTTAAGGATTTTTCATATCCTTCTAAAAGTGAGAGTTGTAAAAAAAAATCCTCTTTGATAAGCTCACTTTGTATAAAGAGTATCCTTAGATGCTCATTGTACACTTTAGAATACAGAATCAAATTGTATTCTACTTTGATTCACTTAAAACTCTACAGAACGAGATGGGAAGGAATAGAGAGCAGCCTATTATCATCTGAACCAATTCTGAGAAATGCATATAAGCAAAAAGTGCATATATTTATATATAAATATGAAAATGAATTACTAGGCATTAAACTAATACTTACTGACTGAGAGGAAGAAGTGGTGTGGAGAGAAGTCTTGCATTATGTAGGGAAGTAGGTAAAGGAGGAGGAAGCCATTCCAACAGACAGAACAACATGTACACATGTGATAAACTGAACTGGTTTTTTGTGCCAATGCTGGGGTTTGACCTCAGGACCTCGTCTCTTGCTTGTTTTTTTTTTTTTTTTTTACTCAAGGCTAGCATTTCACCACTTGAGTTACAGCTCCATTTCCAACAGCCTGACTTCTTTAGGGAAAGAGGCAAGATTACAGGGAGGACAATGTCTTAGTCAATGCCCAGCAGTTTGGATACTCCATTAATCCATGTCTCCCTAGCTGTGTGTCTCTGGGCAAGTCATTTGCCTCTCTGTATCTATCTCATGGGTGATAATAGAAGGCATAATTAGAACATAAGAAGTACTTAGAACAGTGCCCAGTACACGGTAAGTACTCAATAAATATGAACTGTTATTATTACTATCTTGGGTGGCAAGACAGGAGAAAGACAGATCCCAGAGGCTCCTATGTAAAATGGAAGAGGGTTAAACCTATGCCAAAAAGCATCGAGAGTGTTTGAAGGCATGTATGAGGTAGAGGAGAAAGCGTGTCATTGGAATTTTAGCGAAGTTACTTTGGTATCTAGATAGAAGATGATGGGAGGAATAAACTGAAGACAGGAAGACAGAGAGAAGGGAGGTACAGTAATCCACGTGACTAGAGATGGTGCTTAAAGTAGGTCAGTGCCAGGGGCTGTGGAGCCAGGAGGGAGTGACAGTTGAATGGGGAATAAGTAGAAGAATCTATAGGACTAAGCACCTGAAATTCAGTTTCCAGGCGTAGGCAGCTGGTAGATGAAGACATTAGTCATGGAGAATGGGAATTCCAAGATAGGGGTAGATTTGGAGGAAGGTTGGGAGGGTTTGGTTCTTCTGTACATGATGTCTTTGGTCTTGGACATTCCATATTTGAAGAGAATTTCCAAGTACCAGCATCTGGTAGACAGTGGGTCAATAGGCTTGGCTCAGTGTCCTTTCGAAAGAATCCCGACCCAGCTGGATTCAGTTGATCAGGTCTGTAATCTTACCTGCTTGGGAGGCTGAGATTGGGAGGATCAAAGTTTGAGGTCAGCTTGGCAACATGTTTGGGAGGCTCCACACAGTGGTGTCATTCCAGCTATGGCAGGAAGTATAAATAGGAGGATCATGGTTCAGTCCAGACTAGCCAAAACATGAGGCCCTATCTCATAAACAACTAGAGGTTGGAGATAGAGTACAAATCACAAAGCACAAACCTAGCAAACATTAAAACTCGAGTTTAAACCCTATACTGTCAAAAAACAAAAACCTTGCCAATTTGTTTAATGGTGCTGGAGCTGTTAATAATTCTGGACTGAAGAACAGCAACTTTTTAGTTATATTGGATGCCATAGATGTTAATATTAAAAAGATTGAGTGCCATCTAGAAAATGATCATGCCTGTCTACCTTCTTTCCTTTCTCCCTTCCTCTACATCTCTCATGTACCTGGGGTTATAGAAATGTATTACCACATCTGGCTTGTTTTTTGAGATAAGCTCTCCCTAACTTTTGTTGCATGGGGGGTGGCCTTTAACTGCAGTTCCAAACATGAGCCACTGCACCTGGTGAAATCACTGCTTAGGCTATATTTGGTCTTCTGTGAAATGTTTGTTTTGCAGGACGTCTATGATATACAGTAATTACTTGACTATGTGCAAATGAGGTAGCTATTATTATGTATATCTGTTATATAGTAGGTTTCCATTTGTTTGCTTTTCAGTGACTGAAAAACTTTACAGTAACTGAAGTTTCTCAATGTTTTCACACAGGTATCTCTGATGAATATATAACACCTATGTTCAGTTTTTATAAAAGTGTTGGTGAATTGAAAATGACCCAAGAGGAATATGCTCTATTGACAGCAATTGTCATCCTCTCTCCAGGTAAGTTCACTGTTGCATTTTAATTTCTATTCTAGTTGTTGTTTGTTCAACATCAAGTCATGGTGATTATTAAAGAAAATCTGAGAACCACATAAGTAAAAAGAAAAAACAGCCAATAACTCTATTATTTGAATGGGATAATTGTTAGCTCTTGGATGCATCTCTCAGTCTTGTTTCTAAACATCACCTTCTTGTATTCAACGCTTACTGAATATCCACTATGTTCTAATGATGGTTCCAGACATTGGGATGCAATAGAGTGCAACTCTCACAGAGCCCTCATTCTAGGGTGGTGAGGCTGATGATAAATGAAGAATCAAATAAAAATATTCTTTTCAGGAGGTGGTGTATATTACTAAAATAGAATGAGTGTTATCTTTTTTTTGCTAAGGAAAGAAAGTGGCAAGAGAATGATATTTTCACTGGTAATCAAGGAAGGCTTTTCTTTTCCTTTCTTCATGTTTATTATCTGGAGTTTTATTGTTTGCAGAAGCTTTTCTTTCTCCTCCATCTTTATATAGCTCTTTTGAAATCAGTGTAGATTCCTACTTCACTCTGTATTCTTTAATAGAATTATTATTTCTCAAATTGACCAAAATTTGTCCCAGTGAGTTGATTGTTGAGTCCTTTTCACGTACTTCCAGTGTTCTTTGACTATTTTCATAAGGCCTTAAGTTCTGTTGATGGAAAATGGCATTTTTAAACCAAATTCTGTGCATTGATAGCATTGATATTTGTATATCCTTGCTTCTGTTCACTCACAGTGGCCATACTGACATTTATATTCTACATATTTCTGCACTCACTTATGTGTTAAATTTGAAAACCAAGTTCACATCAATAATTCTAATTCTAAGCTATTATCTCTGGGTTTTTTTCTGAAGTCTTGGCAATTATCATGTTTGCTAATGCTTTCTAGACAAACTAATGACTCCTATTATTATCATCATATTTACTTACTCCATTAATTCATGTATTTGCTTAATATGATCCATCACATAAGCACCTCGTATCTCTGCTTCCCTATTAGCCTGCTCTCTTTTTTCCTCTTGTTTTTAATTGTCAAGGCAATGTACAGAGGAGTTACAGTTACATAAGTAAGGTAATAAGTACATTTCTTGTCAAACTTCTTACCCCTGCCCTCACATTTTCCTACTTTCCCTCCCCACAATTCCTCTCCAAGTTAGACAGATCATTTCCAACATATTGTCTTATGTATATTGCTGTTGCATTGGTTCCCCCCAGCCCTTTGTCTCACCATTCTGTTGTTCCCCTTCCCTTCCCTAATCCAAATAAACATATATACAATACCAGGGTACCAAAATCAAGTATAGTGACAACAGGGATATACCATATATATATATATATATACACATATGAGGGAGAACATACAAAAGAAACAAGAAACCATATAGTACATTACAAACAATAACAAAGAAAAATCTCTTGTGTCCACATCTTGAAGTTAATTTCACTTAGCATCATCTTCTATGGTCATATGTACATAGCTACTGAGCTATTCTGCTCCTCTGCTAAGATTATCCTAGATATATACTAATTATTACAAATAAGGGAAACCATAGAAACTATGTTTCTTTGGGTCTAGCTTATTTCACTTAATATGATTTTTTTCAAGTCTTTCCATTTCCTAACAAATAGGGCAGTGTCATTCTGTCTGATGGAAGTATAGAATTCCATTATATATGTGTGTGTGTGTGTGTGTGTGTGTGTGTGTGTGTGTGTGTGTGTACACCACATTTTCTTGATCCATTCATCTACTGAGGGGTATCTGGGTTGGTTCCATATCTTAGCTATGGTGAGTAATTCTGTGATAAACATAGTTGTGCTGGTAGCTTTAGTATGGTCTTGTTTGTGAACATTTGGGTAAATGCCCAAAAGTGGGACTGCTGGGCCATAGGGGAGCTCTATGTGTAGTTTTTTTGAGGAACCTCCACACTGCTTTCCGATGTGGGTGAACAAGTTTACACTCCCACCAACAGTTCAGAAGCGTTCACTTTTTGGCCTCACCAGGGAAGTCTTTTCTAAGTTACTGTCATTTGAATAGGGTATCAATGAAATTATAAAATGTATAATGTAATAGAGAATGTGATTCTTTAAAACATTCAGATTTCCTCAAAAATCATTTTCCAAGTTATTAACAAATCATACTGATAAGTTGGGCATGGTGGCCCATGCCTGTAATCTCAGAACTAGGAAGTTGAGGCAGGAAGATCATGAGTTTGAGGATAGCCTGGGCTACATCATGAGACTGTTTCAAAAAATAGAAAAGTGTTCTTATGAAAGTTTGTTGTAAAGTGTGTATTATATTCTGTTGAATAGATGTACAATTGTATTCGTAATCATTAATAAATACGTTTATATAGCAGTGTGCTTCCAATTTTCTTGTTTTAAACAATGTTGAATATCTCTGTACATAAAATTAAAGAGTTAATTACTTAAAGTGATAGGAGACAGGGCTGGGAAGGTGGCTCAGTGGTAGAGTGCTTGCCTTGCATGCCTGAGGCCCTGGGTTCAATTCCTCAGCACCACATAAGCAAAAAGAAAAAAGCTGGAAGTGGAGCTGTGTGGCTCAAGTGGTAGAGAGCTAGCCTTGAGCTGAAGAGCTGAGGGACAGCACCCAGGCCCAGAGTTCAGGCCCCACGACCAGACCCCCCCCCAAAAAAAGTGATAGGAGACAGACATATACACCTCCAGAGTCAGCTTAAAGTTGACTATTTTTAAAGTTATTATTGGGAGCAAGTAATATCATGCTCATGATGTTTAAAACATCACTACAAAGTTAACTTGAAAGCATTTTTTTTTTAATTTTGGTGCGAGTTCTGGGGCTTAAACTCAGATCCTGGCCACTGTCCTCAGCTTTTTGGCTCAAGGCTAATACTCTACCACTTGAGCGACAGCTCTACTTCTGGCTTTTTAGTGGTTTATTGGAGATAAGAGTCTCAGGGACTTTCCTGCTCAGTCTGGCAACAAACCATGATCCTTAGATCTCAGCTTCTTGAGTAGCTAGGATTATAGGCATGAGCCACCAGTGCTCAGTTGAAAGCAAATTTTTATGATATTGAGACAGAAGGTAGTTTTTACTGTTTTATAGATTATTATAATTAGAAACAGACTTATGATGTAAAAGGAAATCTGTTTGGCAGAAATTATGCATGTAGATCCCTATGACCCAACAATTCTACACTTAAGAAGAGACCTACCAGAAAGCATGCTGGTGCTAAACTATGGGTGACTATCTAAGGATTTTATTGTGAAGTTTCTAGAGAGCATTGGGTGTTCTGTGGTTTCATGAAAATTTGCATGTGTGTGTGCATGCGGAGGAGTGTGCATTCATGCGCATGTGTGCATAAATTTATTAAATCGAACATTTTATACAGGTTTTGTAAAGGGTACAACATGTGTAAATGTACTTTCAAAAAAGTTAGCATTCCAAAATTATACCCAATGAATGTTCTCCTCTCTTTTTCCTTCCTTCTGTCCTTCCTTCCTTCCTTCCTTCCTCACTCCCTTCCTTCCTTCCTTCCTTCTTTCCTTCTTGGGATCCTCTGCATTTTAATACAAAAATTATTTGCTTCCTTCTTTTCCATTAAAAATTATCTTTACATCATTATAAGAGGGGGTTTTAATCTAACATGTCAGTTTATGAGTACCACACATCTTGACCGATGTCAGCCCTTCCGTCCTTCCTTTTATGTTGCTATTTTATTTTCCAACACAGATCGACAATACATAAAGGACAGAGAGGCAGTAGAGAAGCTCCAGGAACCTCTGCTTGATGTGCTACAAAAATTGTGCAAGATTCACCAACCTGAAAACCCTCAACACTTCGCCTGCCTCCTGGGTCGCTTGACTGAACTGCGGACATTCAATCATCACCACGCGGAGATGCTGATGTCATGGAGAGTGAATGACCACAAATTCACGCCACTCCTCTGTGAGATCTGGGATGTACAGTGACCCGCATCCCAAGGGAGGTGGAGGGCCTGGCTTCTTTTCTTCCTTGTAATATAAATCTCATATATGTTTTTCCTTTATTTCATTTGTACTTGGTTTTCCTCAAGAATCTTGATGAATATTTATGAAGTAATTATATAACTTCCACAATTGCAAATACGAACTAGACAGAATTATTTTCCCTACACTATATTTTGCCAGGCTTCAGGGAGTACTACATTGGAATCGGCATGCCCTGTTTGCCTAATTAAATTGATGGTTACTTCAACTCTACTTATTAAACTAGGGGAAAAAAATCATCTTGTTCTCCATCTTACCATATTGCATATATTTTATTAAAGAGTTGTGCTCAATTTTGGCAATAAACGGAACATTATGGCAATAGGCTTTTCCATGGGAACAAGCATTTCTTTCGATGATGAAAGGTATCTTTTTGAATTTGCTGGGGTGAGTGTAAGGCTCAGTTAGCAATAGATAAACTCTCAGAATGTAACTGGGGATTGTCCCAACCCTGAAGAAGTTATGGCAAATACTCACTTGGTTTTAATAACCTCAGGACCATTTTGTTTTCCTTGACATTTCACTAAACTATTCCCCCAAGCCATCCCTCTCTCTGTTTAGCATGCCAATGCCATTAGATGTGAGGACATTTTCTTATCTCTTAAAAGTGCTCACTGCTGGCTTCAGTACATTGGATTTATTGTTTTTCATTTCTTTCACTTTTTGAAAACACTTCTACAGCTGGGTGCACAGCTGTGGTACATTCTCCCACCCCCCTCACCCCCAGCCGGAATTCATTCATTTCCTTCTTTCATTGTTCTACTGCTACATTCTTCTCCCCATTATCCTTTGGTAACACAATAAAACACCTTCTATAAATAATAGCTTTAAATCTCCCTTCCTCCTGAACTCAGCCAAACTGGAGCTACCAAGCAAAGAGTTTTTGTATTAAAATGCAAAGGATCCCTGGAAATACATAAAGGATATATGTATTTTTTTATTTAGCAAAATATAAAAATAGTCTGTGGAAAAGGGAATGAGATAGGGCAAGCATATTTGGCAAGTTAAGAGCAGTCAAATGGAAGTCATGCACAGAACAAGGTATGTGGGTAGCTGGGGGGAAGGGGGGAGTGTACTGGTAACACCATTTATGGAGTTCTCTGTCCTGGGATAAGCTAGCAAACAAATTGCCTTTGAAACAATCAAGCGACTGATCATTGTGAACAGACTGATTTTCTTGAATTTTCTGAACTATTCTAGAGAATTGCTGGGTCTTAGGAGGAGAATGTTGGAGGAGAGAGAGAGGTGGGGAGAAGGTCCTACCCCTCTCAGAACTGGATGGTCAGTCCAGGTGTCAACCTGAGATTTGTGACCTGAGACTTAGTTGAACTGCACTTCAGGACATCAGCTGCCATCAGAACCAGTTTGTTGTTGTTCTTGTGGAAGTATACACCCACACAGTTGGTACCAGAGTGTTGTGATTCCAGCTGAATTTTTGTGAGACACATAAATCTAAAATGCAAGGTAGAGAACTGAAAACACCCCCACCCACACACCCACACAAACTGGACAGATAGTATGAGACTGGATCTGAAAAAAATAATTGAAGCCTAGGCATGGCTCAAGTATATAGTCCCTGACTAGCAGGTAGAAAGGTCCTGAGTTTCAAACCTCAAAAACATACATACATACATACATACATACATACATACATGCCTTCTAGATTTATAGGTAAAATTCATTTCTTAGAGTCTTGTATTCTTTTAAGCCAAAGGATAAAGGAAACAATGAGAGAAAGGCATATGTAGGGGTTTCTTTGCTTTCTCCCTCTATTTTACAGCTGAAGGTGTTACCACTATAGGTTAGAGACAACTATCAGTATCTAGTGGGCTGAGTTGAGGAGTACTGCTACATATCCTACAGTATAGAATAGCCTTGCGTCATAGTCATTACCGGTCCCCAAAGGTCAATTGTTAAACCCAGGCTTTTTTCATCCTCAGTCCATTTAGGCTGCTGTTATCAAATGCCAAACAAACAAAAACAAGCAAAAAATGGTTAACTTATAACCCACAGCAAATTATCACTTTCAATTTGGGAGTCTGGGAAGTTAAAGATCAAGTCACCAGCAGATTTGGTTTTCGATGAAGGTCTGCTTCATGAATTGTGGTAGAAGGTACTAAGTAGCTCTCCAGGTCTCATATATATATATATATATATATATATATATATATGTAATTTTTGCTGTCCCTGAGCTTTTGTGCTCAAGGCTAGTGCTCTACTACTTTGCCCCCACAGATCCACTTCCAGTTTTCTGGTGGTTAATTGGAGAGAAGAGTCCTACAGACATTTCTATGCAGGCTGGAGTGGAACCACAATCCTTCGATCTCAGCTTCCTGAGTAGCTATGATTACAGGCCTGAGCTAAGAACGCCCAGCTGGGTCTCTTGTATAAAGGCACTCATCCCATTTTCTAGGGATCCACCCTCTTGACAATCACTTACTAAATGCTCTCATCTCCTTTGTTCAGGTTAGTATTTCAACTATGAATGGGGGCACAAATATTCAGACCATAGTGTACCTCCCTAAGATCTGCCCTGTGCGTTCAGGACTTCCTGCTGAGTTGATCTAGCTATAGCATGATTCTCTCACGGTGGAGATATTCTAGCTCACATCAGCACTGTAGACAGTTTATTTGTGTAATAATAGTTCACTAATAGTGAACTCTAATACTAGATATGAGAAAACGGTTTCGAAGTTTTGGTTGTTTTTTTGTTGTGGAGAATTAGACACCAGCTACCACAGTACCAGCTGTACTGTGGCTCTAGTGGTAGAGGGCCTGACTCACAAGTGTTAAAAACAAAAACAAGGGGGGACTGGGAAGGTGGCTCAGTGGTAGAGCACTTACTTTGCATGCTCAAGGCCCTGGGTTCGATTCCTTAGCACCACATAAGCAAAAAGAAAAAAGCCGGAAGTGGCGCTGTGGCTCAAGTGGTAGAGCGCTAGCTTTGAGCTGAAGAGCTGAGGGACAGCGCCCAGGC